AACCACGTAGGAGATGGCGGCATATATTCGCTCGCTTCGCTCGCTCACTCGACCCCGCCATCTCCTTCTAACCTAACCTGTCCGAGTCGGAAGTCCCGATCTCGCTTCGTTAAAAATTAATAAACAAACATTATTATGCGATTTTTAAAAAAAAAACATTTTTCAATTTTTTTTTGTGCATTATTTACATTAAGATATAGCAATCACTTTCAAAGATCGCATAATTTTTTTATTTAGTTACAAGATTTTCTCGAGGATAATATAAGTTAATGATTTATTTTTGAATATAAGTCATAGTTAACTCTTTTCATTTTGGTCTTTTCCGTAAAAACGAAGATTTGAAGAAACTCATCGAAATCGGATGATTTTTCGATTTTCTAGAGCCAAAAAACGAGATGACCGCGATAGTATAAAATTACCAAATTCAACGTACGTTAGGCTATAGAGGACAATAGTAGGACAAGTCTCGCAACTCAAGTTCTTCTACCGTAAAAAGTTGTGAGATCCATGTAATATCAAGTCGGTTTATGTATTCAGTCCCTACTTAAGGGTCCTTCTATCTAAAGTTATTACGTAACTAGCTAACCTAACAACATTTTATAGCTGCTATTTCAATATTAAAAATCTTTTATGTTTTAAATATATAGATTAACTGGGCCATCGCATGAAAACACAATGTATCTGACAAGTAATTCATATTACATTAAATTAGACTGTTTCGTGATAATACGCCTATTCCTTTTTTTAAATTTCGGCAACGCATCTGTAATTATTCTGGTGTTGCAGTTGTTCATGGGCGACGGTAATGACTTACCTTCAGTTAAGCTATGCTCGGTTTGCCCCCTCTCCTATAAAAAAAAATACTGAGTTGCGAGACTTTGTTTTTTTACAAGTTATGTTTTAGATGGCATCTCATTTCTTTTTGTAGATAGTTATGGACTATAAACAATAATTAAAAAGCTGAAGGTACTCCGGATTAACATTGATATCGGGACGTCAGTCACCTCAGTCGCCGTGACCATGGGTGCTGGAAAGCACCCGAAACGTTGGGAATTAAAAACCAACTAAAATTAAACGCGATAAAATTTGTAAAAGTAGTTTTAATCAATATATTACGATCTGCTAATTTGCTGATGTTATAAAATATTAAAATCACCACTAATAATCAACTTATGAATTAAATAATTAAAATAACTAACAACGCTCAACGCGTTTGCTGAACATGAAGTCCCAGGTTTGAATCCCAGGTCAGGCCAAAATTACTTATTAAGTTTTTGTTAAGAAATTCTTACTAGCAAACTGTTGTTAAGAAGTTGGCCGTGTTTTACCCGCGTGCTTCGGAAAGAACGTAAAGCGGTTGGTCCTACGCCTGATCACCTTCCGTTCGTGTCGAATTACCGCCTCATTAAACTATGAAAATGAGGGTATAGAGAGTGCACCAATGCTTGCGAATACACTTGGACACTATAATGCTGTCCTGCACAGACGGCCAGTCTCAACGGAGAAATTCGATCGGGAGGAAATTAAGCTATATAAAAGGAACTTTCATTATTAAGTCCACCTTATTTCACTTAAATAGATAACAGTGGCTTCTATTAAAAATATGAAAATTTGAGATCATTTTGAGTTTAATTCCAATCTTTTTTCTTCTTCTTTTAAGTAAAACTGGTCTGAATATAAATACTATCCTTATAACTTCATTAAAGTTTTTTTTTACATATAGCTCTCGTTTTACTTTCATAATTTGCTCTTATAATAGCGCTTAATAAAATATACGTGTAAATTTAAAGTTGAACCAACTCAAATAAAATATATTTGTTAGTAAACAAAACCGAATGAATATAGCGGCGAAAAATTACCAATTTCAACATGAGGCAAAAATTAAGAAATTTTATTTTCAAATCGGTAGATATTGAAATCTATCGATTTGAAAATAAAACTTCTATCCTCTTCCTTTATTCTCATATTTTCTTTTATTCACGTGAAATTTAGAGGAACGCAAAAAAGTATCTATAAAACTAAATATCATGAATATTTAAGATAACCACGTATCTTTATTAGTATTTTGCTCATTATTCGTTAGTTTAAAAATATAACCGTTAAAAAATTAACAAATTTAAATAAAAAAATTGAAGTTATTTAGAGGGAAGTAATATTTTGGTACTCTGTATATTTTTATATTCTTTTTTTTGATTTCTCTGCAATATTTTGATAACTGCCTTGTTGGTCTAGTGGTTGTAGTAGTGCGACTGCTGATCATGAGGTCCTGGGTTCGAATCCCGGGTCGGGCCAAAAAAATCAATATTGAGTTTTTCTGTCAAGAAATTCTCAGTAGCTGCCCGGAGTCAGGAAGTTGGCGGTGTTTCACTCCCGTGCCTCGGAAAGCACGTAAAGCCGTTGGTCCTGCACCTGATCTCTCTCCGGTCGTGTTGGTTTACCGTCCCATCGGAATAGAGATGAGGGAGTGCACCTGTGCTTGCGCATACACTTGTGCTCTATAATCCTGTCCTGCGCCGATGGCTAGCCTCCGTTGTGGCGGGCCGCCGTAACCAAAATTCGGTCTGAAGGACATTAATATTTTGATATTCTTTTCATAAATGCTTAGGAAAGGCTTTAACGTGGGCTAAAACCAGCACTGTTGTACCTTCTAGCTCGTTGAAATTCTTCCAGTCTCTTTGGCATAATCTTATTCAAATAATCAATGAAATCTTCAGAAATTGCGTCAATTCTTCCCATGTCGTATTTTTAAGATTTCTTATATTAGCGGGAATAGGATTACTTTTCCTGATATACTTTCATACTTATCCCGTAAATGCTCCTCAAAAATGTGATTTGAAACGCTGGCCACCCCATAGCGTTGATTTCAACGTTTCAAAAAAATTTGACAACTAAGGCTGCAGTACGGGCGCGTGCATCATCATGCATAAAAACAAATCTATCTGTCTTAAAAGGGGAAAATTGCACTACAATTTCTTCTAAAATCTCAAATACACATCGTGACCCATTTTCAATGACGCGGAGTTTTGTACGTGTTCCCATACAAATACCTCTCCATACCATAACTGACCCTCCACCATGCCACTCTTTTTAACTATGTTTCTCTGATCTTACCCCTCTTGCGGGTGTCCCCACACTTGAATCCTTTCATTATCTGATTTTAGACAAAATCTGGACTCATACGTGAATAGAAATCACCTCCAGGCTTCGTTATTCTAATATTCGTAATTGCGCGCAATATTAAACTCAAGCTTCTCGCTGGAATGTGGCAAAAAGCTAGCCTCTGTCAGGCAAGTTTGAATTTACCCCGGACTATATCAGTCTGTTTATCACAGTTTTGTGCTTGCTGTAACCACTCGAACTTCTTGAATCTTCGTTATTACCTCAGAAAAAATTAAGGTCCAGTTTCTAAGCGCACTTGTAACGTTGAACTGGTCATCTCTGCTCTGCTCTGGCTACAGATATCCGTTAATATCCCTGTTCTGCGATTCATATACAGTTTGGTCTGCCGGTGTCTGATAATTCGGTGGATGTAATACAGATTTTAATACTCGTAATCTACGGACCTAAATTGAAACTCAAATAAGAAAATTGGCAAATTTTTGGCAGAATGACAGAACGCAATATTACGCAATAAGTACTTAAAACAAATGAAATTCGAAAAAAAAATCAAATTTTTAACGGCAATTTTTAATTTTTGTGGCCAGTACTCATGGTAATCACAACAGGAGAAATTAAACATTTTTTGCGTTCCTCTAAACTAGTCCACGATTGTAGTTAAGCTATGATATTAATTTCGTCTTTTTACGGTTTCGCTGTCATATATGGACTTTAGTCCTTTAATATTTTTTTAAAATCTTGCATAAAATCTGAGCAATAGCTCTTTTCAAAAGTGAAAAAAAAGTCTTCTATCAAAAGTGCACTGCTGAACATAGGTCAACCTATAGATTATCTGATTATTTGCCATAGTAGCCACGCGTGGCAAGCGAATTGACAATCGCAGTATTTAATATTTTGAGTTGGTGTCAAGAACATGTTGGGTATGTTCCGAAATACAACGCAGTGTACTGTCCAATGCAAATGACGTCATGAATCGACGCTATACTGGTGATTCGTTCCAAAACATTGGACAGTATATGACGTCATACTTTTGCGCCATTTGGAAAAGTGTTGGCGATTATTTTGTCATTTTGTGCTCCAAAAATCATTATATCCTCCTAATGGATATACCATCAATTATTCTATAATTTTTTGTATTTGAATAAATAGAAACAAATTCTGGCATGCTTCATTCGGCAAACAAACAATTAAAAATTGTTTTATTATAGCCGGATATCCGACACAATATGGCGGCGGCACGCCAGTACAATATAGTGTCAGTTGATGACGTCATTAGCATTTAACAGTGTACTGTGTTGTATTTCGGAACGTACCCGTTGTTTGCTCATGTCCTGTTTCAGTTTTCCTATGACATCTTTTACGACACCGGCGGGGTGATATGAATCAATTCGTAACAAATCTTTAGCGTTCAAAATTCATAATATTTAAATTTTATATTAATTTACAAAGCGCAACACATGGTTCCTCGGACACTTGACCCATTTTTTGTTATTTAATTTGTTACAAAACTTATATACGAAAAGATTTAACTTCTACATAAGTTATTTAAGTGAAAAAAAATTAACACAACTTCTTTAACAATGAAAGATAAAACAGGTGCACAGACTTCATATTAGTTTTATTAAGAAAGAAAAAAAGCAACATAATCTCGAATGTTTTCGCCCCATTTGTTAAAAATTAACGTTGTTTTCAAACACTCTTTTATTTTTAAATTAACAGATCTTTAATTAATAAATCTAATTATACTTTATTTATTGATAAATTATATATTAAAAATAAAACTTTATTCATATTTATATATACGGAAGTAATTATAACTTAATATAACAGTTTTATTAATATCAAACCAAATCAAAAACATATATCACATATAGGTTGCTTACTGGTTACCAGTCACGTTGGTGATAAACACAAAAATGCACAAAAACACTATCATCATTATAATTAAACAATCAATTTTTATTTAACCTATAACACGATATGTGTCACCTGCAAGGCGACGACAAGTAAATTGAATGATTTCGTTGCGAACTCTATTGTCATTTTAAGTAGTATTTATATATACCTAACCATTAATTATTAAACGGGCAACTCTACCACAAAAGTAACGTTTCTATTAAATTTCCTTAAAATTTGTAACAAAGAAACTTTATAATTTACAGACATTAAAGTTTATAAATTCACAATAAATTTATAACTATGAGTAATTTAATTATTCTTTCGACATATAATTAACATAATTAACTAATTTGAACTGTGTTTTAATTAATTTACAATATTCAACTAAGTTTATATTTTTTTTTTAATGGGAATTCTACATACCTTATTACATACTACCAAAAATCACGTTCATGAAGTTGGATTATTCACCGTGATACATCTAGTCTACAAATCATACAATTAAAATATATATTGTTTTGTTTCGAATTTAAACATTATTCACAGTCATGATTAATTATATGTCGGAAGACACAACAGTGTCTACTCACGTCTAATATGTACTTAAAATATTCTTGCTTCTTGATTCGTTCCTTTGTACATTTATTTCTTTGTTAGGAAACTGTCCTCTACTTACTGTCGTGATGTAAAGTATAACATAACTTATAACATAAACTCTCAAGTCCGTCATCCAGAAACTACGGAATTCCATTTGGCGCGATATTGACACACGTTTCGCGCTTCTTTTACATTCATGCTCGTCACCGTGTAGGCCGTATACGGGTACTCTTAGTTTGGCACCCATTTAATACATCACCAATTTGATCAATAAACTGTCTTAGTCCCTTGCAGACTCTCTCACTTCTGCACCATAAATTGCTTTGTCACTATTTCCTCTTATTTCTAGATATCTAAACCACCGCAGCGTTGCATTTCTAATTTTGGTTTAATATATATCTATATTAATAAATAGGTCGTTAGAAGAAAGTAAAATGAATATGTGAAATAAGAATGGAAGGGGAGTTGGTTGATCAAGTGGATGAGTTTGTGTAATTGGGATTAGTATTTAGCGGATATGGTAGATATGATAAGGAAATAGAGAAAAAGGGGCTCTACACTCTATTGTAGAAAGTCAGAGTGTCTCAAAGAAGGCAATTATGACAATTGACAATGCCGTATTAGTTCTTACTTTAATGTATTGGTTGTGGCAGAAGAAGCACTAGAGTAGTAGAATAAATGCGGTAAAACTGCTATCATAAAATAGTATGTTAGGACTGAATTTGAATGACAGAGTGAGCAACTGTGTGATAAGAGAAAAGTGTTGTTTGCATGTAGATGTTGTGACCGAGATAAAAAAAGGAATGCTTCGGTGGTTTGTTCATGCATAAAGAATGAACTAGGAAAGAGTGACAAAGCAAATCTATATTGCGTATATGAACGGTCTTTGTTTATTCGTATTCTATGCGCTGCCACACCGTTCATCAGATTGCGGTAAAACGTTGTTAACATATTGCATGCACTTCCGCGAAGGTTATAGGCATAGTTAGACTCGGTAATTGGCGCTGTTGTAGAATCCAGATATCACCCGTGCGAAGCCGGGGCAGTTCGCTAGTCTAATATACAAAACATTACCATTTGTTTGACCAAATTGGCATTATATTGAAAATGGGCTAGATTAGGAGTACCCACACAAATCTAAACAATAAGACAATAGAAATGCCTTTTACTGTCTTTTAATATCTCTCACACATAGACAAACAATAAATACACAATTACGCCTACAAATACCTCTAGCATGCATGCAACAAAGATTAATCTATAAACTATTGCGTTAAGGAATATTTTATAAAAACGCAAAATCTCAGGAGGCGTAGCCACTCGGTCCAATAATTAAAGTGTGCGAAAAATAGAGAATGACATTGCGCGCTCGCTCTCACTTGGACATAGTGCACAGCAACGCACGTTTCGATAACTTTCTATTAAGCGTCGTTGATCTTCCAGGAGTCTTACACCAAGATATAACTAATTAACTGAAATTGTCTCAGTAATAGACGCAGACGTTTTATAATTAGAAAAAAAGGGATATAATAATACGTTAAGAATAAATATATCCATTTTGCTTTAATAACCGGATCTTTTGGAAACTTGTAATAAAAGCATTGTATTAAATAAACAGATGTGTAAATAAAATGAATACAACATTATTCAAACAGCAAACGAATAAATATATGGGTGACATATTTATCATTTTTTATTAGTTTTAAAGATCTGTAACTGACTTTCTTTTGTTTGCTACTTTTCAGTTTCCCGGCTTCTTACAGATCGAGTTAAGACTACTATCCTTACAATATAATAACTTATCCTTACAATAAGTATAACTTATTAAAAATTTCTCAAGTAATTTAAAAGTACAAACAAACAGATAATCACCGATAAACGGTTAACGGTATAAAATATTTAGAAAGAAAAAAAGTAGAAAGGTGTAAATAAATATTTAACGAAAAATCACATTTAATTCCCGTTTCGTTAACACTAGGTAAGCCAAACATAATAAATTATCGATACAAAATAGTTCCTGCGGCCATGTTCTAGGAAATTTACGTACGTAACAATTTTGTTTATTGCCCATACTATAAATCCATCGCCGATTTTAGCTGTCGTACTCGTAGACATGAACTAGCTTAGGAATCAATGGATATTGAAGTTTGAAAACAATTAAAATTTCGGAGACAATCGTAGTACTGGAGGTGGATATTTTATTTAAGTATATTTCATTAAACACAGCATTATTTAAAACACTAAGTACTTATTTATGAAATGTTATCCCTTTATTTGAAAATTTGCAATTGCAAATTGTGGAGGAATTTCCGCAGTTGGATATGTTTCAAAACACCATTTTTACATCACATGTACGGCGACAAGGTCACGCGCTTTTACGACTTCTATTTATGTTTAGCTTTCTGTGGGAGTACCCCTAACTGACGAACATGTATGCGTAGATATATGGAAGTAAAGGAGGGGAAAGTGGTAAGTCAGGATCGTGCCAAATGGAAGTCCATAGTCTCTGCCTACCCCTTTGGGTGACAGAGGTACGTCACCCAAATATTATTAATATTCAATAAAAATATTCAAATCAATATCAGATTATAAATATTTAAATAGGCACTTTTCCAGAAAATTCTGTCGTGGGTGACATTACTACCAAGCAAATACCACAACACGAAATGAAAATAAAAAAAATATAATAACTATACGTCGTATTGCGTACCGGCGACATTGGAACATTTGCCATTTCGTAAATTTAAAATGGAATTTGACTCTGCTTATTTATTGATATTTTCTGAAATACCTATGTTGGCGACGGGAGATAACATCTCTTTAAATCATTAAGTGTTTCTTAAAATAAATGTCAATTTCATATTAATTTTATAATAATAATTTTATGCTAATTTCGCAAGATAAGGATATTTTGAAATAACTTAGTCATGCATTACATAGCGATCGGCTATGTGATACGATTAAAGAATTAAATATTTAATTATTTGCATAATTTTAAGATGTGTTATGATAAGTGATAACTTATAAGAGATAACGATAATAATTTTGAGGACGGTTAGATGCTAGAATTAAACAGAGTATATATATACAATATATAATGTAATTAATGCACACCCTCAGACACCCCAATTAGTATATTATGTTATAATCATAATACATACATTGAATTTTAGTTAAACATTTTTGTGCACTGATTATTTATCAAATTAGTTATACTAATTCAGGAAGAATGTTGTGGTCACAGTACAAATCCACGAACGCAAAGACTAACGTGCTTGAAATAAAGTTCAATTTTCTTTACTTTTATTGAATGACAGAATGAGTAATAATACAAATAAAACTGCACTCTTAAAAGTCTTATTGCCTTAAGTTACGGTCCATTTCAGTTTGTTTTGACTGTACAGATTTAGTGTGACTGTAATTTACTTAGATTTAATTATTTTTGGGATAAAAAATTACCTATATTAAAAATGATAAGAATCGATTCAGTAAACGATTCTGAACAAACTACTTTCTCAAAGTGCGTTAATTATGTTACGTGTTGTATATACTAGCTGTGCCCCGCGGTTTCACCCGCGTTTTTCTCGTTTCCGTGGAAATACCGAGGTAAAATATTGCCTATATTACAGCCTCCCTCAATAAATGGACTATTGAATATTCAAATAGTTTTCATATCAGATCAGTATTTCTCGAGATTACCACGTTCATAACAAACAACCAAACTTTTCAGCTTTATAATATTAAGAAAAATATAGATTAAGTTAAATTGTATAAGTCGCAGGCAATATCTGTCTATCTGTTCGACATTCAGCCAGACACATAAGAATTACGACTACAGGCGGGAGTGTCCGCCCACTTTAAACCGGGTTAAAATATTATTTTAAAGTACTTCTGAGTAAATTATATTTTTCGTTTTATTTTCTTGTGGCAGAAGAATATATTGATTGTTTCCGCAACCTGATCTTGCCAACGCGACATATAATTGGCCGAGCGTAAAACAGTCTTGCCGTAAATCTAATCATACATATTTAAATGTTTGCCCCTGTGATTTATTTATCGTTACGGCAAAAGATAATTTAATTGGGAATTGGACTCTTTTAAAATGAAAAGGCAAATCATTTGGAATCATTAGGATCCGAGGTATAAGTACTGTTTGACCAACCGCTGGACCAGTCAAAACTGTTGCAACGAACACGTTATTGCGAAGAAATTTAACCTGAAGTCAAGTCCCGTTACATAAATTTGGTGGCTTAAGATTTCTAAGTAAAATAATTGGGGCACCAATTTTTAACTTGAGAGAATGTGGGGGGAGGCCACTCGGGTTTAAAGAATTAAGAAATTCCTGTGGATAATGGACTGCATCTTCTTGATCCATTACATTATCAATAGAAATGTAGGTGACTATATCCCCTGGAAATTTAGTTAAATTTAAATCGTTAATTT